AATACACTCCATCACTATATTGAGCGATTTGACTTTCAGAAATAATCAAGATCTCTATTTTCTGTGCAACTGATGATCAGTCAACGCATATGTAAATCATAATTCTTTTCGAAACTCAAATCAATTTTAGTATGGTTTGATGTGCCTTTTCATGAAGAACCTCGAATATGATGTTGGATTTTATTTTTAAGTTCGTTTTAGTGGAGAAAACTATCAAAAACTATAAGTCAAAATTATGTAGAAAAACCCGTTTTTTTCACATTTTACTAATAATTTCTGATAACAGTATTTTAAGTTTATGTCCATGAAAAGAAAAGCTTTTAAAAAGAATTTTGATCAAAATATTTTTGGATAGTGTAATTGAGATCCGATGGAAATATCCAGACAGTACAAATATTTATCAAATGGATACGTGTATATTTTAATATCGAATGAAGAAATATTAATTCAACCAAGAACAATTTAATAGATAACTCCATAGGCGGCGGAGCAGTTTCAGTCTAGGGTAGGCTCAACTTTTTAATCAAACTACATCTGCACATGCAAATAAATAGTTGAAACCAGATTAAAGTTCATTATAATCATAAGATTTTAATTGATTTTTTTAGTGATAAATGAAAAAGTTTTTGCCTGATTTTCATTGATTTGCATCGTTTAGACTCTAATTTTTTATGAAATTTCAATCATCTATGATCGAGATAAACAGTATAATACATGTAATTTTGATGTTTTTTTTCGACAATTTTTCCCATTGAAATCGTTTAAAAAATGATTGAAAACCTGTAAAAGTCGTATAGTTATAATCAATACTTAATTCATCTCATTTTAGTTTCAGCTTTATCTCTAGATACACGCATGCTAATGGGTTGAAAAATACTTTTGCTCATTTTTTATAATAGTGAACATTACAGATTTCCTTCTTGGATTTTAATTCTTTATAAGCATTATAATTAGCTGTCGAATGTGGCATTGTTTTTCAACATAACAGAAACTAAGGAAGTAACGAGAAAGGCTATTTATAAGGCAATAGAAGGATAGCCTAAAAAGAAATAAAACTATTCAGCAGCACAAGAAGTTTTCTTATCTCGATTTCTTATAAGAAAATCAAAATAGATACTTAATTGATTTGATGACGAGGTTCTAGTTGATTCTAACTATACTATTTCTGTGCATGATTCTGGCTCATCTTTAGTGTCACTTTAACTCTTGAATCAAATCCCAACATAAGATAGACCTTTCTGAAAACTATTCTTGAATTGTTATTAATGTTGAAAGAAAAATAAATTCTGATTTTGCTTAGCTGGTATAAGTATAGGAAATGAGTAATATCATTCAAATATTTAAAACTCAAAAATTATTTCAATCTGTCCGACCGTGATGGAATAACGTTTTTTTCACTTTCTCTCTTTAATATCTCATCACGGCTATGTCTAATAAGGTTATTACTCTGGAAACATATATATATAAGTTAGAGTGCTCTACACATTGGCAAATTTTCATTAGATCTGGTATTTCTTTTACATTTTTATGATTGAAATATATGTCCGTAACTGAATAACCAAAAATGGATACCTAGCTTGAGGGTTGTTCTGAAGAACTAAAAACTTCAGCTCAACTACAAATGTGATTAAAAAATTTTTTATGGGAAAGTTATAGTTTAGATGACGAGCTATATATAAAAAAAAACAATTCAAAATATACGAAAGTTTCATCTCACATATAAAAAAACCTGTCGTGAGGGAATAACGCTTTTGTAAAATAGGGATATTTTCATCAACGTTTACTTCTTCAGAAAATTAACTGTAGTTCTCCCGAAATGAACCAATTGATAACATCTCTGAAAGTACAATTAAGAAAGCGTCTCAAATCGTCCTTCTGGCTACGCAAAAATTATATAATGCAAGCATGAGTTTCGCTTTCTTTCTGACTTTGCCGAAATAGGTGGATCGTTAAGTGGACAGGTCCTATTTTAAATAGAAGTTCGAAAAAAAAAACAATTCAATTGTCTTACGTGAAGAGTCATGAATTCCATATAAGCATAGATGCTAACGAAATTCAATAAATGTCTTATTGAGTACGACTTAGCAGTAACAAAAATATGGACTGACTTTCTAAAGCCAGATCTTTTTTCGGGAAAATATGAAAAGCAAACAATAATAGAAAGCTTTTATATTTTATAGAGCCTAGCCGAGTCTTGATTTGTTATAGTTTAAGCCTACCCAAGCCTACTCTCTTTCCTCATTCGAGCCTACCCAAGCCTACCCTTCTCCAATCTAGGATAGGCTAGAGCCTACCCAAGCCTAATGGCTCCGCCGCCTATGGATAACTCAACAGTCTACAAGTCGATAAATTCAGGATTCTACTTCGATATTTACGATCGATAATAATAAAACTTTTCGAAGATTTACCATAATAATATTTTTAAGAACTTTATAAATCCTTTTCATTTTATGTAATATAATCTATAGAATTATCTAATTTAAAATACTCGTGTGAACCGATGAAAAATAAATGAATACATATATCATTAATTGATTATTTGTACAGAAAACTTTAATCATTAGAACAAGTCAAAGAAATATATTAGTGACACAAACAAAATATAATTGAATACAACATATTTTATCGATCTTTTCGGTCAGAATTAACTTATTTATAAAACGAATATTCTACAATATTACATAGAAAGCTCATTAAAATTATTTCCATTTGAAGTTGATCTTGTCATATACTTGTTTAATTCTATAATTAAAAATATTAATCATTTCATTATCTTTTTCTTGAACATGAAAGTATAATGAATACAGAAAATTCTTATATTCATTTCGGATATTGTGGCAAAGAATATGCAAGTAGAAATAAAGAGAATAAATACAATCATATTCAAAATGAATAGAATTATATTCTATTAGATTTAAACTTATCCTATCAAATAATTCTATTAATTATTCATTTATTTGAAATTTCATTATATGAATGTAATAAAGTATACGTCAATCTTAATGATAAAGACACAATTCTATTCTTTTCATTACGAAATATCAATAAAACTCTATTTTCAGTTTGAAAAATAACTTGTATTATTAATATACTTGAAGTTAAATTTCACTAATCTTTATTCTATATGAATTAACTGCTAAATTCAGACACAGTTATCCAGACGGATATTGTAGAAAAATACCGTGAGAAATTTCTCTATAGAAACTTTGAAAAATACTTTAAATCTCAAATGATCTTTCTCTCTTTGGATGAGCTATCGAAAACACAGCAGTATATGTCCTTATCAAAGTATATAGAAAAGTAAAATTTCTAAATTGTTCAATAAAGAATATTAACAAGTATCAACAAAAATGTTAACAATATACATAAAAATAACACACGTGAAAAAGTTGTAGCTAATTCTTTTTCTAAAAGATGCGCCGTTTAATTCTCTACAAAACCATAAAGTAACTTATTTCTGTGGAAAATTAAAAAAAAAGAATTAGACTAAGATTTTCTAACATCTAAAAAGTACTCAACTTTCAAAACAAACGAGTGTTCCATAAAAGGATTAAATTAGCATCTCTTTTATTTATCATTTAGTAGGCTTATGTTAAAAGCCAAGTATACCATAAGATACATCTTGAAAGGCTCTACATGTTACATTAGAAACCTTATTTATACGTGCATCGATTTTTTTTAAATGGACAAAATTTTGTCCAACCACTTTTCGATGCTGCGAAAAATTCATTTATTAGTCACGCACACTTTTGGTTCAATGAAAAAAAAAAGTTGCATATATATCTATTTATAATATGTTGTTCTTTGTAAATTATACAACTTTCATACTGCAATTTGTGATGTATTTTGTTCTTTTGAATAAAATATATCAAGCAATAAAAATCTGAAAAAAACGAATTTATAATGTACCAAAAACTGGTTTTTGTTCATGGCATCGAAATTGGTCACATAGAATTTGGCTATTTTGAAAACAAAAAGCTCATTTATAAAATATGATTTTTAATGTAACTTGTAGTGCTTTTCACGCTACATCTTATCATACAGCTGGCTTTTAAAATAAACCTACTAGACGATAAAAAAGAAAATACAAACACTGACCATTCATTATGTAACACCCATTAACTTTGAAAATTGAGTACTTTTTACATCTTGCATAATGTTAGTTTAATTCTTTTTCTTAACATTCCAAACAAAAAAAGTTACATTATGATTTTGTACAGAAATTAACCTCGCATCTTTTTGCAAAAAGAATCAGCCCCAAAGATTAATAAGTAAAAAGTTATTCTGAAAATACTAAGAGAGTCAGTTAATCTGGGTCACCCGTTATTTTATGAAACAATTTCCATCCTAACAAAAGTTTATTTCATCGGAATCCTAATACATAATTTTCTACATCTAATTTAGCAATTAAATGGACAATCATTTTGAGATAAATACTAAAAACTAAATAACAGACCAATATCATCTATTGGAATTTCTAAGCATTTGGCTGAAAATTCATTCAGTATCAATTTACACGAACGATAGCCTTTACCTCTTTTTCCTGTGACGTGTCTGCATAGCCTATTAATCCTTGTGTAAGTCTTTATTTTACTATGAAAAGTAATAGTTGCTCTGGCAGACCGTTGTTGCCAACAATCCGCACGTTTTCGTCATCGCAACATGTATTTGATCAGATTTTTTTTTTTTTTTTATTGATGACAATCAAGGACAAAAGGAGAAACAAGGGAAAATGAAAAAAGACAATAGTGGAGAAAAAAAAAAAGGGGCACGACCTATATATAATCTATCGAACCACACTTAGGACAGAGAGAAAGATATATACATATACATATATGCTATCTATCAAACCACACATAGGACGGAGAGACATACATATATATATACATATATATAACAATCGAAAAAAAAATAGAGAGAAAAACAAAAACAAAAAAAAGGAGAATGAAGATATGCATGAGCAGTCTGACTCATTAAGTACCATCTAATGACGTTGACAATTAACCATTGTCAAATGGAAACTTTTTCATATATATCATAAACCTATCTTGGCATTTACCAGGATGATCTTTTTGATTTCGATTGTTACTATTATTAATAATACATCTATATGACCAAATTGCATAAAGGTAATTACCAATAGAATATGTAATTTGTTTTTGAGCTATCCTCGATGTTGTCGATGAGACAATTTTTAGATAAATGATATCATATTCACTTCTTGTGATTGATACATTAAACTTGTTAATGTATTCAAATAACAATATGTAAATCTTGTTAAAAAAGGAGCAAGTAATGAAAAGATGTGATAATGTTTCTGGTAATGAGCAGAAAAGACATTTCTTCTCTTCTGATGTTTTACCAAGTCTGTCATGTGTATTTATTCCATAATTAGCCAATGATGTCCAAAATTCTACGATGTTGGATGGTAATTTACTATGATGTATCAGTTTGTAAAATTGTATATTTTTCAAGTGATTGATCCTTTCATAACATACGGGAGGTTGATAAATATTTAAATTGATAAACTTCCAATAGATAGATTTATCATTTCCATTATTTATTACATCACCACCACGTTTTAACCATTTAGCAGTATGTATTGCTACATCATTAAAAAAGTGTTTCTCATCGTGTAAATGTGGGATTAGATTTGTCCATAACCAAGGTGAATATTTGTATAAATGTAAGCCTACATATGGTAATGCAAACAATTTCCATATTTTCGGTGTTGTACTTATAATTGTTAAACCACATTTAATACGATAAGAAATGATCATCGATTCTAGATGTATAAGACCAAAACCACCATCCTCTTTTCTTCCAACACAAGTTTGGAATTTTATAAAAGGATGTATTCTTCCCCAAAAAAAAGAGCTACAAATTTTTTGGATGGATTCAATTACATTTTTATTAATTAACATTGATGAAAACCAATATACTAATCTACTAATTATAAAACATTTTAGAATACTTGCTCTTTCACATAAGGACAGTCTTATTGAGGACCATAGTCCTATTTCTTTCTTGATGTTGTTTACCATTTTATCAATTTCTTCTTGTGGTAACTGCCCTTGAGCATTCATTGGTATTCCCAGGAAGGTACATTTCTCTCTTTCAATTTTTGCATTGAAAGAAGGAGGATCAGACAAGTCACTTATCCAAAAAATAACTGTTTTTGTATCATTTGTTTTACCACCTGATGCATAACTATATTTTTTAAACAGTTCATAGGTTTCAAATTCATCATTGGTGTTAAATACAAATGTGATTACATCATCAGCATATGCTAATGTTTTAATTTTAATGTTTGTATCATCATTTTGAAGAATTGTATTAACAATAGATCTATATTGACTACCTGGAACTAAGACACCGGGTATCCTGGGATTTTTTCTAATTAAATTTAACAGAGGTTCTAGACACATAACATATAGGTAACCAGAAAGTGAGCAACCTTGTCTAATTCCTGAGTTAAAAAATAATTTTTTACTCAAGAGATTGTTAAATTTAATTGTAAATGTGGAATTGGTGTATAACAATTTAATCATATTGATGAAATTATTGCCAAATCCAAACTGCCTCATCACTTCGAATAGGTACACTCTAAAAAAAATTGGTTTTCTACTGAACCCTCAAAAAAGGTTCGGTAGTTTAGAAATAGTGTCCAAATGGCTCAAAATGTTAAAAAAATGATTATTCAATTCTGCGAAACCTTTAAAGGTTCTTCCCCTTGATACACGGGCCGAACCTTCTACTACGAAACCTTTTTTTAAGTTCCGTAGTGCAAAAAATGGTTTCGTAAGAAAACACGAAACCCGTAGAGCTTCGTATTAAACCTCAGTGGTTTCGTACTAAACCTGAATGGTTTGAGAATTTCTTCTACGAAACTCTATGGGTTTCGTGTTTTCTTACGGAACCATTTTTTGCACTACGGAACTTAAAAAAAGGTTTCGTAGTAGAANTAACCAAGTCTGACAAATATTACTTTTTTTTCTTTTTCTAGAATGTTGCTCTGGCAAGTCGATGTTGCCATCAACCAGCTTATTTTCGTCATTGCAACATGTATTTCATCAAAGTTTTTTTTTTTTAAGTTGTCCGTCTTTATTGATGAAAATCAAATACAAAAAGAATATCCAGGGAAAATGAAAAAAAAAGGAAATAGTGGAAGAAAAAAAACAAGGGCACGATATATATAATCTATCGAACCATACCTAGGGCAGAGAGAAAGATATATACATATACATATATACAGTCTATCGAACCTCACCTAGGAAGGAGAGAAAGATATATATATACATATATATAACCGATCGAACCAGACATAGAAAAAAAAGAAAAAAAAGAAGATGAAGATATGCATGGGCAGTCAGCGTCAGCGTCATAGAGTACCATCTAATGACGCTAACAATTAACCATTATCAAATGGGAACTTTTTCATATATATCATAAACCTGTCTTGGCATTTATCAGGATGATCTTTTTGATTTCGATTGTTACTGTTGTTGATGAAACATCTATATGACCAAATTGCATATAGATAATTACCAATCGAATATGTAATTTGTTTTTGAAATATCCTCGATGTTGTTGATGAAACAATTTTTAGATAAATGATATCATATTCACTTCTTGGAATTGATACATTAAACTTATTTTTAATGTATTCAAATAACAATTTGTAAATCTCGTTAAAAAAGGAGCAAGTAATGAAAATATGTGATAATGTTTCTGGTAATGAGCAGAAAAAACATTTCTTCTCTTCTAATGTTTTACCAAGTCTATCATGTGTATTTATTCCATAATTAGCTAATGATGTCCAGAATTCTATGATGTTGGATGGTAATTTACTATGATGTATCAACTTGTAAAATTGTATATTTTTCAAGTGATTGATCCTTTCATAACATACCGGAGGTTGATAAATATTTAAATGGATAAACTTCCAATAGATAGATTTATCATTTCCATTATTTATTACATTACCAACACGTTTTAACCATTTAGCAGTATGTATTGCTACATCGCTAAAAAATTGTCTATCATCGTGTAAATGTGGGATTAGATTTGTCCATAACCAAGGTGAATATTTATATAAATGTAAACCAACATATGGTAATGCGAACAATTTCCATATTTTCGGTGTTGTATTTGTAATTGTTAAGCCACATTTAATTCGATAAGAAATGATCATAGATTCTAAATGTATAAGACCAAAACCACCATCCTCTTTTCTTCCAACACAAGTCTGGAATTTTATAAAAGGATGTATTCTTCCCCAAAAAAAGGAGTTACAAATTTTTTGGATGGATTCAATTACATTCTTATTAATTAACATTGATGATAACCAATATACCAATGTGCTAATTATAAAGCATTTTAGAATACTTGCTCTTTCACATAAGGACAGTCTTATTGAGGACCATAGTTCTATTTTTTTCTTGATGTTGTTTACCATTTTATCAATTTCTTCTTGTGGTAACTGACCGTGAGTATCCATTGGTATTCCCAGGAAGGTACATTTCTCTCTTTCAATTTTTGCATTAAAAGAAGGAGGATCGAGACAGTCACTTATCCAAAAGATAACTGTTTTTGTATCATTTGTTTTACCACCTGATGCATAACTATATTTTTTAAACAGTTCATAAGTTTCAAATTCATCATTGGTATTAAAAACAAATGTGCATACATCATCAGCATATGCTAATGTTTTAATTTCAATATTTGTTTCATCGTTTTGAAGAATTGTATTAACAAGAGATCTATATTGACTACCTGGAACTAAAACACCGGGTATCCTGGGATTTTTTCTTATTAAATTTAACAGAGGTTCTAAACACATAACATATAGATAACCAGAAAGTGAGCAACCTTGTCTAATTCCTGAATTAAAGAATAATTTTTCACTCAGGAGGTTGTTAAATTTAATTGTAAATGTGGAATTGGTGTATAACAATTTAATCATATTGATGAAATTATTACCAAATCCAAACTGCCTTAACACTTCGAATAAATAAAGATGGTTCACTCTGTCAAAAGCTTTTTCTTGATCCCACATTGTAATTCCTAAAGGTATACGGTTTCTTGAGTGATAATCTATGATTGTACGTATTAAATGTATATTATCATGTATAGTTCTTCCGGGAATACCTGATGATTGATTGTAATGTATGATTTTGTTCATAACCTTCTTTAGTCTTGTACTTAATACTTTGGTTATGATTTTATAGTCGATATTCATGAGTGAGAGAGGTCGAAAGTTCTTCATCGTTCCGTTAAATTCACTTTCTTTCTTTAATAGTGTTAAAAGACCATTAAGAAATCCATCGTGAAAATGACCTTTGTCTCTAGCTGTATTAACCATCTTGATAAAATGACCTCCTATTATTGGAAAAATAAATCTCCATAATTCAATCGTTAAACCATCATCACCTGGAACTCGACCTAATTGCATAGCTTTAAGGGCTTCATAACATTCATCAGTTGTTATATCACGATCAAGTAAGTCGATATCATTTTGATTGAGTTTTGTTATATCTTCGAATAACTCACTCCAATAAGATGTATCGATTGGTTTAACGTTGTATAAATCTTGATAGAAGTTGCAACAAATTTCCATCATTCCATTATCTGTTTCAACACGACCTTTAGATGGGTGAATAAGATAAGCAATTCTAGATTGATTTGCTTTACCATGTGCTAATCTCACTTTAGCTAAATTACTAAGACATTTAAAATCACGGTCATCTTGACTTGGAATACTATTAACGAATTTTTCTGTTAATGCATCGTGAAGTTTTTGTCTAATAATTTCTAATTGTGCTAAGTCATCATTGGACGGATTAGTTGCTCTAAAACGGTATTCTTTAGATAATCCATCTAATTCACGTCGTGTTTCTCGATTAAGTTCTTTTTCTTCTTGCTGTATTATCATAATTAGGCTTGTCTTAAAATCCCTCCACCATTCAGTTGTATTAAGATCAGCTGTGTTGATAATAATGTTCCATACTCGATCGAATTTTTCTAAAAAGGATTTCCTTTTAATTACATTAGGATTACATATCCATCTACGATGCATATTTTTATCGGTTAATGGTGGTATATTAATAGATAAAACTAATGCGTCATGATCTGATATGCCCACTGGAACATAACCAATATCATGTGTATTTTTGTATATAATATCAGAACCGAATACCAAATCTATACGACTATGATAATTGCCTGCACTTGCGTGATATGAATAAATAATTTTCCTAGGTTGTTTACGTCTAAATATTTCAGTTAACAATAATGGATTGATCACCTCCTTAAGTAATATGCGATAAGATAGATTATCTGTTTGTGCACCTAATTTGTTTCTATCATGTTGATTGTTCGGAGTACAATTAAAATCCCCTCCGATGATAATCCATTTGGTAGAAGGAATATATAAGAATAATTCTTTAAAAAAAGAACATCGTTCTGTTATTTGAGCAGGAGCATAAACATTGACTAATACTATTGGGACATGATTACATTCAATTTTAATATAAACTATTCTACCATCAGTATCTGATCCATAATCAATCATATTAAATTTTTTCTTAATCATAATTAAAACACCACCAGCAACCCATGTACCCAAAGCTCCCCTAATATTATAATCAAGGAAAGAATTTTTAAAATTTTCAAGATGGAAAAATTTTGTCATATGTGTTTCTTGGAGCATAACAATGTCATGTGGATTTTGGTTTAACCATATTTTAAGCAGTTGTTGTTTTTTGCATGTTGTTATTCCTCTAATATTATAAGATATAATTCTGAGCATAGTTTGATTGATAAGATGGGATTTTAATTGAGATAACTTCTTTAATTTTTAACTTTTTTTGTTTTCATTTTAATTCTCAACCGCTTCGCCACCTTCAGATTCACCTGAGGTTGAGGTTGATGAATTACATATATGTGATTTCTTACGATCCATATCAACGTCCGAGTCGATGCTTCGATCAGCATTTGTACGTTTAAGTTCTTTATCTGCATTTTTAAAAGCATCAATTAATACTTGGTGTAGAAGAGTAGGAACATCGGAGATATGTTCCTCGTTTCCACCTAACACCGATTGAAAAGAGTTTACATCAGCGCCTTGATTGAATTCGTTTTGTGCTACATCACGTATGAGTACCGGTGCAATCACATCACGTTCTTCATCACCTGCCATTAAATGTGGACTTTCAAAATGTAATTCTTCTCGAGTTACCACGGGAAATGTTGAATCAATATCACTCGACCCAGTTGTATTAACTGTTGGAGTGTCCTGATTCATATTTCCACTTTCATTTGTCGGCCCATTATCATCTTTATTCATCACCTTGTTTGAAAGGATTATATGTCGTGGACAGTCCTGTTTTTTGTGTCCTTGTTGTTTGCACTTGCGGCAATACGGTAA